GCTCACGCAATCCTTCCTCCTGTAAGATGGTGGAATTCCCATCGGACACACAAGAAAACCAAGACACAAGAGCAGATTAGCAGCCTGGTGAAGCAACTCAGCCCCTTTCTGTGGGACTCAGAATCCCCCCGTGCGCGTTCTAACAGCTAGTGTCCTCCGAGCCTGGGGGAGAGAATGGAATAGCTCTGGTTTGTCCCCCACTCCCCGCCACGCATTTGAGGGATCTTGGATGGCCCTTTATCTCATTCTCTTTGGCACCCGTCCAGCTCCAGCCTCTGATCTTAACAGTCTTTATCCCATACTAAGAAGTAGCCTGGCTTGGGTAGGGAAAGCCAGGCTTGTGAGAGAAGCCTGACCTGTTTTTATTCTCCAGTTGAGGGTGGAGGTGGAAGGGGTTCATTGATTTCCTTTTACTTATTATTGGGTGTCATGTGTCTCTGGGTTAGCCCAGGTCTGGGAGCTGCAGTCTGGGAGAGATCCCCTACACTAGGGGGCCAGGGGCTCCCTCTGTTCTGTGCTCCTGGGCTGGTTTGGGAATGTGAGAGGCACAGCTGTGGCATTTGCCCTGGAATGCAGGCCGATTGGCCCCTAGGTCCCCTCCCTCCATGGGCAGAGAGCCAGGACACCTGAGTCTTAACCGCCTCTGGGCTGCGGACCCAGCGGCTCCCACCTGGCCCTCAGGATTATGCTCAGCTGGTGGCTCCTGGGGCCCAGGAAAGGGCCTTTTGCTTTGCCTGGCCGCGGTGCACTGTGCCCACCCAGCTGCCAGTCCCAGGGCAGCCTTTGGATCCAAAGCCACAGAGGCTCTGAGCGCCTGCTCAGATGTGGACACGAGGTGGGGACAGGGGCACCACCCGCGCCGCAGTGTCTGCAGAGGAGGCAGTGAAAGCGAGGGCGTACATCTGTCTCTGGGTCTCTGGAGCCCGATGGGCTGCGTCACTCTCGGGTCACACCTTCAAATGATAGTGTCCTCCAGACATGGTCCAGAGGCTTGACATCCAGACCTCCTTGTGCTCCTCCTCAGTCTGTTCCGTCCCTCTAGCTCAGTCAGGCATTCCCGGTACTGAAACTTCCCCGGTGCGCCCATGGCCGGGGGCTCCCGGTCTTCCCTGGCTCGAAAATACCGTGATTGCGCGAGGTTACCTTCGGTTATTCCCCAGGCGGGGAGCGACGGGCCGATTGCGCCCTCTGGCGGACAGCGGCGGACGGTCCGCACCCCTTCGCCGCCAGGGCGCAGCTGGGTGGCCTTTGCCCCTGCTGGGCTGCAGACTTTGCATAAACTCCCCGGCACCCAGCTCCAGGAAGAGAGCCCTTCCCCTCCACACATACGTTGAATGGATTCACCCAGAGACTGGGCTTTCCCTCTTCCCAGATGGAAGTGCCAGAGCCTGCATCACTTGGACGGCAGAGGCAAAAAGCCTGCAGAATCTAGGGTGGTTTCCTCCAGAAAGGGGCTGAAAAACCCCAGAGAGAGAGAGAGCTCCTTCTCCAGGGTCCCAGTGGCTCTGACTTGTCTCCAAGGCCTCAGGCCTGGACCCAGAAGCTTGATGGAACGATGCTGAGGAAGTTTGAGGCCTTCCTTATCCTGAACAAGTGAGCCCTGCTGCTTCAGATACTGCTTCTGTGTGTATGGAAGGCGCTCTCCCCACGTGTGGGAGGGAGGGAGGGTGTGTTCCAGTGCTACTATTGTCTTTGAGACCTTCTTTGAGGTCTATGTAGAATGAACCTCTGAGCCTGTCCCTAGGGTATTCAGAGCTGGAGCCAGGAAGTAGCTGTAGCTGAAAACTAGCCCCCCACCCCCACCCAGCGTGGGGCGCTGACTGTAAGTGGACTTCCTTTCCAGTCCTCCGTCTGGCACCTCTGTGTACTCAGGCAGGGGAGGCGTTTGCTGAGATTGCAAGGAGACTTTGGCCTGTCACCACTTTGTAGCCTGCAGGACACTGCAGGCTTCTGTGCCCACAGAACCCAAAGTCGAGGCCAGTGGTACCCTTCTGTGCCTCCTGGGTTCCTGGCTCTCCCCTGCGGTGCTTGTGGGAGGTTTTGGGGGATGGTGACACCAAGTCCTGTCCATCACTGAGCAAAGACTGAGGACAGAGAGGGAGGAGGAGCTACACCACAGACCCCACAGTTGTGCACATCCTCTCTCACTCGGATGCGAGTTTGGACAATGATACGCCTTCTCTCTCTGACATCCGCACGTGTTTCCCTTTGAACGTTACTTTATTACTTTGCTTTTCTCTTCAAGGTTGCCCTTCTCTTGTCCTGCCGGGGTCCTACCCACAGAGGACTGAGAAGTCAGCACCTTGTACCCCAACCTGACCTCCCTGGAGGAAAATCTTTTTCTGAATTTCATAAAGCAAATAAGATGTGTTTGCAGCTTTCTGTGTTGTGGCATCTGCAGTCCCATAGACACCTCACACGAGTGCTTGTGAGTGGGGGAGTAGGAATCCCAGCTTCATGAGGAGACTGAGCCTTGGGGGAGCTGCATAGTTTGCTTTGTGGCCGTGGGAGGGGCCGACAGTGGAGCTGGGACCAAGCTCAGGTTTGGCTCGGCTCCACAGCCTGCGATCTTTTGTCCATCCCCCGGGACTGCTCCTTCTGACCAATAGATGTACCCCTGGTGAAAAGAGTCTGTTGAAGTCATAAATCAGAGTCTAGTCCTTAAACCAATAAGCAAGGCTTAGAGTCAGGCCGTGAGTGGAGTGGGCGAAGGTGTTTGATGCCCTGGCTCAGAAAGTTTGACGGGGAAGGTTAACTGTCTGTCTTCTGTTGCATGTTTGGAGCCCGGGTCCCAGCTGTCACATTAGCTGGCTCAGGCAGTGTGGGGATGTGCCAATGCCTCTCTGAGTCTCAGTCCTGCCCCCTGTGCTGGTGGTGGTGTGAGGGGGAGGCAGGTGACACAGGTGAAGCTCCTGGCTCGTGGGGGAAGAGCCAGCATGGCAGCTGCCCCCAGTACCCACCAGGCTTGCACTTGTTGCCTGCTCTTGGGGGCTGGCCCTGCCTGTGGTGGAGGAGGGACCTGCCCCTGCTGGCCTGGGCCCAGAGGAGACAGTGACACCGTGTGAAGCCAAGGCAGCAGGTCTGGCCGTGGAGAGGCCACTGGGATTGGCTCCGGACGCTAGTTCCTTTTCTCCTGTTACCTAGACACACGCTGACTCCCTCTAGTTCCGGTTTGCTGGAGACAGGAAGTCAGACTTCTTCCAAAGGCCCCGGAGCAGGAGGGGCTGTAAGAACTGACCTTCCTTGGAAGTCGGGAGGCATCCCAAGCCTGGGAACAAGCTTCTGATCAGCTGGGTAGGAGCCTGGGGCGGGAGTCACCAGCCTCAGGGGTAGGAGATCAGCGCAGGCAGCTGAGGAGGTGTGGGCCCGCAGGCCCAGGCCCCGGGGTGGGGTGGGGGCCCTTGCTTCCTTCTTCCTTCCTCTGAGCAGGGCTGGGGTTGGGGACAGGGCCACCAGGAAGGATCAGACTGGCAGCCCTCAAAGCTGGGTCCCTGTCACTCAGGAAGTTGTGCCGTTTAAATCTGGTGTCATCTTGTGATCCCATCAGCCTCCTTCAGGGCAGATTATTGGGGTTTGGGGCCTCTGAGGAGTCAGGCAGTCCTGTCACTTTCCATCTGTGTTATCTGGGGCTAGTCCCACCACCTCTCAAAGCTGGTTTCCCATCTGTAAAGGGAGGGTGAGAGTTCCAACGTCACGGGACGTTGGGAGGATTAACTGAGACCATGTATGAAATGTGCCCAGGACAGTGCCTGTTACGGGTAAACAAATGACCTTGGAGCCAGCTATCACTTTTTTTTCTTTTTGAAGGGAGAGGTAATTAGGTTTATTTATTTATTTAATAAATTATATTTTTATTATTTTTTAAATTTGTTTTATTTATTTTTTTGTGGGTAGGGTGTTACTAGATTTTTAGATGGAACCCAGGACCTCGTGCATGTTAAGCACTCACTCTACCACCAGCTATACCGTCCCGACCCTAGCCAGCCATTGCACTCTGGTGATTATTATCAGGGGGGCCAGGGACCAGGCATCCCCCACCCCAGCAGGTCAGCAGGCAGGTAGCCCAGAGCATGGCAGGAATGAGGGCGTGGCATGTGGGGCCGGGCTCTGTAGGCTGTGGGGCTGTTGAGGGTCCTAGGAGGGGAGGATCAGCAGTTCCTGTGCCGCCCTCAGCTGTATCCTTCTTGTCTGGGGGCTGAGGAGACGCAGGGCCCCCTGTTGGCCGCCCATTGCTGGGGTGATGGAAGCTTGCACTAGAGGGTGGATTCGGCTCCCTTGCTGCTGTTAAAAGCAGAATGGTGGGGCCCTGGAGCTTCTGGGGCCAGGCTGCTTGCCAGGCTTCGGCAGAAACAGCCTACAGAGCAGTCTGGCCCCCTCTGCCGAGGGGGAGGGAACGCTGCACCAGCCTCGTCCCAGCCCCCACCTCTCCATACACCTCCCGCAGAGCCCAGAGACTCCGGAGGAGTCTGGAGCCTGAGCTTTGGCTTCTACCAGGTCAGAAAGGGCAGGTGCCACCCCAAGGACCCCTCCAGTTTAGGTGCTGAGAAGGCCTAAGCTCTTGGAAATTAAGTGCGACCTGGCAGTGCCCGGGCCCCTCCCTGTGACGTGGGGCCCCTCCTGCCCCGCCCCTCCTCTCCGCCTGGCCCTGCGGGTAGTCGGAGTGCCCGGTTCCAGGCAGGCATTTCTGACTGCCAAGCCAGCGAGCCGCGCGGCCCTGTCTGGAGGGAACACAGGTGCCCGACTCCCAGAGGTAGGAGAGCCCCCAGGGTGGCCCCAGGAGCATCCAGAGTGCCTTTCTGGGCTGCAGAGAAGAGCTGTGGGAGATGCTCTTAGCCAGGCTGGTCTGCGCCAGTCCCGTCCTGACCTGGGGCTGGCCGTGTCTCCGATGGGCGGGGCAAGTACTCAGAGGTCATTAACTTTTGGGTACAGGCAGGGAGAGTGCTGCCTTTGGAGACTTAGTGCCCAGGATTCCTTTTCTTACCTGCGCCTTCTCTCTGCAGACGCCCTGCTGGCGGACTTGGAATCCACCACCTCCCACATCTCCAAACGGCCCGTGTTTTTGTCTGAGGAGACCCCCTATTCGTACCCAACTGGAAACCATACGTACCAGGAGATTGCTGTGCCGCCCCCTGTCCCGCCTCCCCCATCCAACGAGGCCCTCAATGGCACAATTCTTGACCCCTTAGACCAGTGGCAGCCCAGTGGCACCTCCCGATTTGTCCACCAGCAGGTAAAGTGGGGACCAGGGGTCGAAAGTCAGCTTCGGGGCAAAAGGAACTTGTCTGGCAGTGGCTCAGAGAGCCGGGGATCAGGGGAGTGGGGAGAAGAGGCATGGGACGTCCGGCTCTCCCCACCCTGCACCACCACGTGAGGGCAGTGACCAAGTGTTAATCACCTGTCTCCCAGCCGAGTGTGGAAATTCCCTGGTGAGACTGGCTGTGAGCAGGAGCCTCCCGGGGATGACTTGGGTGGTTCCTTTTCCTCCTCTGGGAATCTCTGAACACATTTCTTCCTGCAGCCTCAGTCCCCGTCCCCCGTGTACGGCTCCAACGCCAAAACTTCCAGTGCCTCCATCCCCCAGGACGGCGTGGGCCCTCCGTGTTCCCGAGCCGGTGAGGAAGAGCACGTGTACAGGTATTGCCCAGTCCCCACCCCCACCCCCCGCTTGGAAATCCAGCGCAGCGGCCTGGCTGGGGGCAGCTGAGGCCAGGGACCAGGCATGGCCACGGCCCTCGGTGTCGGGGGGAGGTGGGCGTTCTGCCTCCAGGGTCATTGGGTTAGACTGCAGAAAGCCTGAGGTGCCTGGCCAGTTCCTGAGGCCTCTCCATTGGGTCGGTGGCCTTATCACTGCCATCTCCTGCAGCGGCCAGGGTGGCTGTCACATCACCCTGCACTGAGGAAGGTTCAGGAACTGAAGCAAGACTTCCTTCCTACCCTCTCTTTACCACAACCCGTATCCACTCTCCGTCTTCTGGCTGGCAGAGACATTGCACCCCGCCCCCCACCTGTTCTCCTTGAGGACTTGGGGGCCACCCGAGCATTGCTCACCGCAGTCTCCCCTCTGCCTCTCAAAGCTTTCCCAACAAGCAGAAGTCAGCCGAGCCGTCACCTACTGTCATGAGCTCCTCCTTGGGCAGCAACCTTTCAGAACTCGACCGCCTGCTACTGGAGCTGAATGCGGTGCAGCATAACCCCCCGGGCTTCCCCACAGGTAGGACGAGGTGAGACCCCGCCCCAGGCCCGCCTGCCGGCCTCTAGGCTCCCCCAGGGCTTAGGGATGAGCAGCTTTTCTCTCTCTTCCCAAGATGAGGCCAACTCAAGCCCTCCCCTGCCCGGCGCTCTGAGCTCCCACTATGGCATCCCGGAGAATAACAGCCCGCTGGGGGGCAAAGCCGGGCCGCTGACCAAAGAGAAGCCCAAGCGGAATGGGGGCCGGGGCCTGGAGGACGTGCGGCCCAGCGTGGAGAGTCTGCTGGACGAGCTGGAGAGCTCCGTGCCCAGCCCTGTGTGAGTGTCCGCGGGGCCCTCCCAGGCAGAGGGAGGCCTCGCCCAGCCCATCCCCTGCTCCGGTGTCTGTCCTCTCATCCCCGGTATCACATGTTCCCTCTGAAAGTGTCCGTTGTTTGCCGGGCCCCGAGGGATGGTGGTGAATCACACAGAAACCATGCCTGCCTTCAGCGAGCCACGGCCCTCAGAAAGGACAGCCGCTGTACAGGCTGAGGGCGCCGGTGGCCAGCGGCTGCCAGTGCAGGCTTTGGAGCAGCACAATAGGGTTCATAGCTTGGCTCCGCCCTTACTGACTGTCGTCTCTTGAGCCTTTGTTTTCCCATCTGTAGAATGGGAGAAGGGATATGGGATGATGGGACACACGTAAAGCGCTGCACATGATATGCGTGGCAAGTGCCTACCAGGCGTCGGCTCTGCTCGGTGTTAGCACCTTGTTGGAACAGCCTCACTCGTACACACAGTGCGGTGGGGGATGCGCAGGACGCTTGGGCTTGTTGAACAGGCGGGCTTGAACTTGGTCTTTCTGGGAAAGGGGCTGCCTGAGCTGCCCTCTCTTCTCCCCTGTCAGCTCACCTCAGCGCTCTGGCCCCTTGGCTGACAGCAGCCGCCTCCCAGGGATGAGTCCCCAGGAGAGACTGGGGGCTGATGGGCTTCTCCAGTGTTGGGGGTGGTGGGACCTCAGTGTCAGAGCTGAGATGGTGATCCCCTGTGAGGGGAGGGCCACGCTGGGGGAGGGCAGGCTGGACGCTGGGGCCCCTGCTCATGCCACGCCTGCCTGCAGCCCCGCCATCACTGTGAACCAGGGCGAGATGGGCAGCCCCCAGCGCGTCACCTCCAGCCAGCAGCAGACACGCATCTCGGCCTCCTCTGCCACCAGGGAGCTGGACGAGCTGATGGCCTCACTGTCGGATTTTAAGGTGCCTTAAGGCCCCTCCTCTTCCCTGCCCTGTTCCCTCAGGCCCCTCTCCCTTCTTCTCCTCCCACTGGAACTCGGCCCCTCAGTGTGTGGGTGCCTCTCCCTGAGCCTGGGACCCCGCAGGCAGTGCCCTGGCCTTATCAGGATAGGGGGAAGGGAGGGCCCAGCCAGGCTGCTCCGAGACTGAGCTGCCTTACAGCCTGTGAAGGCAAGAAAGTGCTCGGAGGGACATTCCTTCCTCCCTGGGTGCTCCCAGCTCCCAGCCACCCAGGGAAGGGATCAGAGGCTGGGACAAAGGGCCCTGTGTTGATGCTGCTCTTGGGGGAGGGTGTTCCCTGCTGGGCATGTGGGACTTGGGATCCTGTGCCGAGAGGTCTTTAGCCCTGGAGCCTCATCTCCCACGCTGGAGCTGTCCTCAACGCGTCCTCTTTCTTTCTGCCTCTGGCTCCTGAATCCACAGGCCTCCTTTGCCAGCCTCCTTCCATCCTCTGTGGTCCTCTGAGTCCCCTAAGTTGCCTGGGAGACCTCACCCATCAGGCTTCTGGGCTAGTCCTGTGTGAGGTGCCCCCCTCCCCCCGGGCCTCCCCAGGCCTGCCAGGCCCGAGATGTGTTATTTAGAGGATGCATTGCATCCCTGGGGGCTGATATTGACTGAGCTCTCCAACGGTTGCTGACTCTGCCCTTCCACATGGATTGGCCAGACCTTGGGGCATGACTTAGAGAAGCTGAGAAGGGGAGCCAGCTCTTGGCCCTGATGGTGCCTCCCGCCTCCCTTCAGCTGGGCTTTCAGCGATGGGGTGGAGCTCGGGGGGGGGGCGAGGTGGAGGGATGGGAGTGACCGAGCTGGTGACCCCCGTGTCCCAGCAGCTCTGAGCGCCAGGGTCAGAAGGCAGGTCAGCAGTGAGTCCGTCAGGCTCAGGTGTCAGCCCCGGTGCCCGTTAGGCTGTGCTGCTTTCTGAGACTGCGGTGTCTCGCTGCCCCTGGAGAAGCTCCGCTCGTTCTAGCTGTAGAGGTTGTAGCCTCTTGGGCAAGGACTCGGGGTGCAGGGAGCTGGGGTTGTCTGGGCAAGACAGAGCCAAGCGCTGGGCCGAGGCTGCAGCAGGCAGGGTCCTGCCTGCTGCTGGCCCTCCCTTGGTCGGTGCCCGGGCCGACCTCCCTGTGGTCCACCTCCCTTCCGTCTGCTCTGACAGGCCTGGCTCAGAGGCTGCATTCTGCTGCTGAGGTTTGACGGGGGTCCAGGATGTAGAGCCCAGGAAAACTTCTCTAGGAGGCCTGGGTCTTTTTCCAGGGCCAGTCCTCATGCTTCGGCTTCCCTGCCACCTGGATGAGACATCTGGCCAGGGTAGATGGTGGCTCTCAGAGCCCTGAGGCCAAGCTGGTCCCTTGCAGTGAGCTTCCTTCCTCACCTCTCCTGTCTCTCTCTCCTTCTCCTTTGCCTTTTGTCTTTCTCCTCCTCCAGACCAGCTCCTCTGCTGTGGCCTTGAGCTCCCTGGGGCTGCACGGCTCAGCTCCATCCCCACACCAAATGTTTCCTCCTCCTCCTCCTGCTGGCCCCTCTGTGTTCCTGCCACCCACTAAGAAACCCTCCCCTGCAGGCCCTGGCCACACCCTGGAGGCCCTCAGCACTGAGGACAGTGATAGCACACGGGGCCTTCTACCTCCTGTGGCCCCCAGCTGGCTTGATTTGGCTGGCCTCGGGGTGATGCCTGACATCCGCAACTCAAGTTTTCCCTCTTCAGAGGGTTCTCTGGGGCCATTGAGTGCAAAGAGCCAGGCTTGTGTTTGGGGGGGACCCAAACCTGGTGGTTGAGCTCTCCAGGGCACCCCCTAGCCATACTGTACTTAGTGCTGGGTGTGCAGGTCCCCAGGAGGCTGGGGACCCCCGAGTGCCATCGGCCAACCCTTTGTGCCCAGAGGAGGCTGTGGCTACCTCATGGGAGCAGCCCAGGGCCCTGGGGACACTCAGGCCTGAGACCCCGCTGGGAGCTCTGCCCAGCTTCCAGGAAGTAGCTGAGCAAGCCATCGTGGCTACAGACCGGCAGGCTATCTTACCAGATACCTGGAGTCTCACGAAGGAACGTGGACGGCAGAAGGAGAGGGCAGGGCCGGAGCCAGGGGAGCCGGAGAGCGGCTGCCCGGCCCTAGTTGACAAGAAGCAGTTAGGTGGAGAGATGCCCACGGTGGGCCGCCCAATCAGGCCAACCCAGGGACCTGAGACCCCCAGGAGGCCAGAGGGTACCGCTGAAGCTGCTGCCGAGGCCGGGAGGGAACAGCCGGAGCTTCTACAGGCCGTGGTCGTGGACACGCCCAGCACCACGGAGAGGATTTCCACCTCTGGCCAGGCAGGCGTGAGCTCTTGTGGTTGCTCGGCATGGCCCTGGCCATCCTCACGTCAGCCATCCCTGGCTGACTGCATGTGGCCTCCCCCTCTGCGCATGTCTGCTTGGGCAGCCCATCCCCAGGTGCTGTGGCCTGAGACCCGGGCGACCAGCACTGGGCAGCAGGCTCCGTGGGGCCAGCGGGGCTCCCTGGGCCCTGGCGTTTCTCTCAGTGACACCCTGCCCCTTGCTTTATGGAGGCTTTTTCCTTTAGATGAGCTTCCCCCGACATCCTGATGGGATGTGTGTGGCATATTAAAAGCACGGGCTTTGGAACCAGATAGAACTGAGTACAAGCCTCGCCTCCAGCCCTTGCTCCCTGTGAGACCCTGGGCAACCCCCCACCAGCCTCAGTTTTCTCATCTTTAAAATGAGAGTAACAGAGCATTTCCCCCCAAGGTTCTCCAGAGGATTGAATGAAGTAATGCCTGGAAAGTGATTAAAAAGAACACAGCACGTGGTCCCCAATAAGCCATGGCTGGTGATAGTGTCATTATTTGCTTCTTGCTTGGTTGAAATTTTAGGCCCTTTTCAAAACAAAATAAAACAACAACAAAAAACCAAACTGCTTGACACAACATTGTAAAATGACTATTACTCAATTAAAAAAAGTTAAAAACAAAAACAAAAGCAAGCAAGCAAACAAACAAAAAACCCAAACTGCTAGAAACAAGTAGGTTATAATAACAGCAACAACAAGAAAAAGCTGGCTGAAAGATTTACTGGGAGGAAAGATCATACTTTTCTATTAAAAATGAAAAAAGGAAGGAAGGGCAGTCTTGTGCTCTCATAAGAATGTCCATTTACAAGCATAATTCTTGTAATAATCCTTTAAGGCAGTTGAGAAAATACCAGTATCCCATTTCAAGGATGGAGAAGCTGAGGCCCTGGATGTGACATGTCTTGCCCAAGGTCAGGGCTGACTTGAAGGGAGTCTGCTCTGCCC